AGTTCCTCCTCGTATGTTCCTGGTACCTTTCAAGCTGCTGCCCCAGCACTGGGGCTCTGAGAGTGAGTGCCTCTAAGTCCATGTGTGGCCCTTTAAAAGGAATGCCTGGGACTCCTGAAGTCATCCTCCTCACTCAGCTGTAACCCCCACTGATTTTCACAGCCAGAAGTCACAGGGACTTCTGTTTGTGGCACTGGAACCCTGGGCCTGGGGGGCCTGATGTTGGACTAGGACCCCTTGCTCCTCAGGGTGGGGCCTCGCAGCCAAGGTACGCCTTCTGGTTTTTACCCTCCACACATGGGCATAGGACCAGTTTATTTCATGTCTCCACCCCTCCTACCAGTCATGTATAATTGATCACTCTGTGGCTGCTACTTCTTTGTATCCTTAGTTATAGGACTTCTGTTCACCAAGATTTCAGGCATTCCTGAATGATGGTCCCATAGTTCACTTGTAATTTTGAGGGGGTTGTGGGATGAGAGTACCGCATGTACCCATCCCTCTTGGCTGGAAGCCTCCAGAGGACTGTGTTCTTAGGAGAGGGGAGATGAGCTCCTCAGTGTACCCTAAAGTCTAAACCTTTAGGTCCAGGAGAATGAAACTTTCATTTTCTTCTAATGGTTCTATTGACCTGAGACTCTTCTTGTTAGGGCTTGAAATTTATGGAGAGCCTTGGCTAGAAGTATGAAGGGTAGGAGAAAATAATTATTTAGCCCTAGAAAATGCTGATCAGTCTTTGGAAAAACTTAGCATATCACATGTAAGTAGGATCGGAAATTTACTGATTTAATTGATCACTGTATTTTGACATTAATTCTGACTTATATAACTTAAAATAAATTAAACAGTTAAATGCATTTCAAATGGAAGCTTTTAATTTATTGTGGTTGTGACAAAACAAAACTTTTAGTGACTTCCAAGATAAATTATAGAATGTGTCATTTGAGAAAATATACAATTTTTACCCACCCCCATATTTATGTGTTTTTTTTTTTAGTATATTGAGGTTGAATTTATATACTGTAAAATTCAGCTTTTTAGGTATAGTTTTCTGTGTTTGGACAAATGGACATAGTCATACCACCACAAACAAGATAGGGAATGTTTTCATTATCACAAATTCCTTCATGCCTCTTTGAGTACAGTCCTCTACTTTCTCCCCAGCCCCCGGTAGCTACTGATCTGATTTGTGTTTGCATAGCTTTGCGTTTTCTAGGATGTCATACAAATGGAATCATATAATGTGGCGTGCAGCCCTTTGTGACTGAGTGCTTTCACTTTTGAGATAATGCTTTTGAGGTTCATCTATATTATTGCATGCCAATTAGGAGTCTGTTCTTTTTTATTGCTGGTTTGCTGGGTAGTATTTCACTGTATACATACACCACAATTTGTTTGTCCACTCCAGTGATGGGCATTTGGAATATTTCCACAGCTATAGAGTTGTGTAGGTCTTTATGTAGACATATGTTTCTCTTTCTGTTCAATAAAAGCTGGGAACAGGATGTTGATTTCTCAGGGAAGAAACTGCCGAACTGTGTTCCAGGTTGGCTGTATCATTGTGCAATCGCACTGCAGTGCATTCGTGTTCCAGTTGCACCAGTTCCTTGTCAGCACTTGATACTTTTGTTTTTTCTTTTAGATATTTATATCAGTGCATAGTGGTGTTTCATTGTGGCTTTAATTTTCAGTTTTGAATAGTTAATGATTTTGAACATTTCATGGGCTCTTTTTCCATCTGCATTGCTCTTTTGGTTCAAACTTTTTTCCCATTTTATTGGATTTTTTTTTAATTTTGAAAGTTCTTTGATTGGATTTTTTTGACACATAAATGAACATTAGATGTGTCATTTATTAGATATGTACTTTGTAAATATTTTCTTTAAAACTGTTATGAATTTCTTTTATATTCATAAGTGTATTTTGAAGAGCAGAAGCTTTTAATTATAAAGGCTGTTTTGTCAATCTTTTCACAATTCATCGGGGGGTTTTTCTATCTAAGTAATCTTTGCCTAACCCAAGGTCTCTAAAATTTTTGCTATCTCCTTTACTTTTTCCTGTATACCTCCTGTGTCCTCCGTATCCCTCTTCTCTCAAAAACACCCATGCCCCCACTGCATTTCACCTTCAACTTTAGAATCTTAGCAAAATTAAATAGGAGTGGGTACAGAGTATAAAGATTTACATTTAAGTATTCTGGCCTGTAAGCATTTCAAAAAAAAAAGCACATAGCAGATTTTAGAGAAGATAAAGAAAGCCTCATTTGAATCCCAGATATCGCACTGGCAATCAGTCTGTGTGCTTTGCCAATGATCATGAGGAAGCTTTCATATGAAGTAGCTCAGAAAAAAAATTTATACATATCTAGCTTCTCAGGAGAGAACTATTGTTCCGTGACACTGAGCGCTCTGATTTTGAGTCTCCCTTTACCCCAGTTACCACAGTTATCAGGAGTTGCTTATCATATATGACCCCATATCAGATTTTGAGTAAGTTTGATTTTGAAGGAAAAGTATGATAGTAGCATGCTGTTCTCACTGTGCAGTCAGGGAGTATAGGTTTGATGAATAGGAATATAGGCAAGAGATCAAAGTGCCCAGAGAGATGAGCATAAATAATACTTTAGATTTTAAGTATTCCTTAGGATTTCTTGTTTAATCCTCCCCAGAGGACATGCTCATTGATTTCAGAGAGATAGAGAAAGAGGGAAGCATTGACGAGAGAGAGAAACATTGATCGGTTGCCTCTGATACTTGCTGTGACCTGGGTTGGAAATCAAATCCACACCCTTTTAGGTGCACAACGACACTCCAACCAACTGAGCAACCCGGCCAGGGCTCCCTTAGTATTTTGGGGGGTGTTTTCCACATTGCTATGTACCAACCTTGGGATGTTGGCAATAACTATTACGTCTTTTTATGTGTGTGGTTAGGCAATCGTAATTTACAAAGTGACCCCATTGATACTTCAAGTACCCACCTGGCACCACATTTAGTTATTACAATATTATTGACTGTAGTCTATGCTATAGTTTACATCCCGTGACTGTTTTGTAACCACCAATTTGTATTGAATCCTTTCACCCTTATCACTCAGTCTCTGAACCCCCCTCCCCTCTAGCAACCGTCAGTTTGGTTTTTGTATCTATGAGCCTGTTTCTGTTTTGTTTGGTCATTTCTTTTATTCTTTAGATTCTGTATTTAAGTGAAATCGTGTTATTTGTCTTTCTCTATCTGACTTATTTCACTTAGTATAATACCCTCTGGGTCCATTCATGGTGTGGAAAATGGTAACATTTCATTTTTTTTATGGCTGAATCGTATTCCATTGTATATATGTACCACAACCTTTTTATCCACTTGTCTGCTGATGGGCACTTGGGTTGCTTTCATGTCTTGGCTCTTCAAAATAACGCTGCAGTGAACGTAGGGGTGCATACCTCTTTTCAATTTAGTGATCTGGGTTTCTCCAAATATGTACCCAGAAGTGGAAGTGCTGGGTACTCATAAAGCAGTTAGTTACATTTTTAATTTTTTTGAGGAACCTCCATACTATTTCCCACAGTGGTGGTGCCAGTTTGCAGTCCCACCAACAGTGCATGAGGGTTCCCATTTCTCCATTTTGACTTTGTTGTAGATAAATTCTCTGGCCTGTCCTGAATTGTTCAGGTAAACACATCAGTGCTGCCTGCCATGGAACTTGCTACATAAAGTTGCCCTTGTAAGGGGCTGCAGCATTGAACGTCAGCAAGGTCCTTCTGAGCATATGCTCCTGTGGCTTCCATGTTGGTCATATGTGCACAGTGTGTTTCCTCTGTCCACCTCCTCTGAATGCGCACCTCGTCTGCATGCGCTTGGCCGGTCTCCTTCTAATCAGCAGTGACTCAGGCCCTGGAGCCTTGCGCTCAGCTGCTCAGTGGATGAGTCGGTGAGGACTCCCAGACTGCCCCACAGTTTCCCAGGATAAACTCCTCATGTGCCAGAAATGTTTCTAGTCAAACTATCACAAATGACTTTACAAATTTGGTGATAGTTCCTCAAGTCATTTTTCTCATTTTAACAGATGGGGTTGTGGGATGTCAGTGAGAAATGGAAACTAAAGATCAGGGAAGTCTATAAAATTACTGTCAGAGCCAACACCGGGTCTCAGATCTTATGATACCTTTTTATTTCCAATATAATTTCCATGAGTCTGTTTCTGAATGGCTGGTGACTAGGATTTTTGGAATGGGATTCAGTGAAACAGAGGGACAAGAATTAGCCCAATAAACTGCTATAATACACGTGCCTAGGAGAACTGATATTAATCTTTGGGCCTTGCACCCTGGCTGGTGTGGCTCAGTGGATTGAGTGCCGGCCTGCCAAACAAAGGGTCGCCAGTTTGACTCCCAGTCTAGGGCACATGCCTGATTGTGGGCCAGGTCCATGGTAGGAGACAACCTCAAAGTGATGTTTCTCTCCCTGTCTTTCTCCCTTCCCCTCTCTAAAAATAAGTAAATCTTTAAAAAAAAATCTTAGGGCCTTGGGAACTGAATGTGAGTGGTTAAAAGGGACTGGGAATCACTGGTTTCTTAAACTCCTGTGGCAGTCATTGGCTTAACTCTGCCCTAGCATTTACTACAGTAGTTGACTAGAAGACAGTTAAGTCTCATGTGTTTGATGGATAGGAGATAGTAGCTTGCTGTTGTTTTAATTTGCATTTTCCTAATTACAGTGAGTTGAGCACTTTTCTACATGTTTACTGGCTAATGAGGTTTATTTTCTGTGAAGTGCCTATTATTCCTTTACATACTTTCCTGTTGGGTTGTTGTATATTGATTTGTAGGGGTTATTTATATATTCTTTGATATTATTAATTTTTATGTATTTCACAAATATTTTTCTAAGTCTGATTTATAAACATATTCTCCATAGTAAAATTTCATAGGCATATTACTCTTACGATTTTTTATATTCTGAATTTTTAAATTAATGGGTTTTTTTTTCTTTTTCTCTCTATAGGTTATGAATGTGATTTCTGATGAAACTGGATTGGAAATATTTTCATGATCTTTGTATATTTATATATATATATTTTAAAACTTTGCATTTGACTTAAAGTGCCATGAGAAAATTTGCATATTGCAAGGTGGTCCTAGCCACCTCCTTGATTTGGGTACTCTTGGATATGTTCCTGCTGCTTTACTTCAGTGAATGCAACAAATGTGATGAAAAAAAGGAGAGAGGACTTCCTGCTGGGGATGGTGAGTGACATTTTAGAATAAAACAATCAATTTGATAAGTATTTCACTGGGGGTTTTTTTTGTTGCTGTTGTTAACTAATTTGGGTAGTATAAAATTTTAACATTTCTATGTTAATAGTAATCCCTGCTTTCCTATATATGATGATCACATTTCCAATAATTCTCTAGTGGTTCTTCCACACAGTTAAAATTATTAAAGCATCATGTATAGAATTGCTAAATTCCGTTTTTGTGTTCATTGTTAAATGTAGTTAATTTTCTGGAATTTATATTGCATTACCAAATAATATAAGATATCTCATAATTGGAACTATCAAAATTGTACAGATTGGTCCAATGCCATAATCCTGAGTGGAGCATTAAAATTGTATTACTGGGTATCAAAAGATTATTTCTCCTACCTTCCCATCTTGGTCCTAAGGGAAAAAGTCATGGATAGATGTGATCTGGAGCATTCTCTTGATGAAAGGAGGAATAATAATGCTGCACATAGCTCCAGGTAACTCTTCTAGGGAGGGCTTTTAAGAAAAAAAAGCTATAGAATAAGGGCTGCAATGAGAACACTACAATATCTGGTGTGGGAGACAGGAAACACAAATATGAAGGGTCTAGGTAAGATGTACCGACATTTTTGGCAGAGGACACTAGAAAAACTCAGTTTAAACTCCTGTGTTTTGTAAACAAATGCTGCCTTTATTTATTTATTGTTTTAAATAATGAAAATGACTTTGCATTATGAGTCAGTAATTTAGCTATTCTTGGCTCTGAACTCTGATTAGTTACAGAATATCTCTTTGGCTCTACAGTAATTCTATTTTTAGGAATTATGTATAAATGATTACTGTTTTAACATAAGTTTTATTTGAGTAGCCATATTTAAATATCCCTAAAATTTATAATCTGAAATTATGTATTTGTATTGGTAAGTGTGCTTGCTTACTGTTATATTTATAGATGGAATTGTATAACCAGTTCTGTTTACTTCATTTTGGGACATTTGCCTAAAAACAGGATCAGTCACCAGCACTGGACTCTAGTAATACCTAGGCTAACCTCTAACTTTTAAATTTCACTTTCCCCGTAAGTTTTAATAAAATACGTTTTTATTCAAAGTCATCCTGTTTGCTGACTTTCCTGGTTTACTTTGTGGTCCTGCTGTTTAGTAACTTTGTTGAATGACAAAGTGCTGCTTCCTGATCTGTAACTCCCTGTCTACATTTAAATCAAAGGGCAGGTATTACCATTCACCAGTAAGAGTCTAGGATATTTTTTCCCTAAGAGAACAGATTAACTTTCCCCTCACCCCACCTTAATTCACTGTTATTTATAGTGGGAGTTCATGGTGTTCTGTCTTACATTTGAAGGCATGGAAATGAGAAAGAATGGGACCTGCAGTGCATGAAGATCTACTTGGTAAATGTTTTAAAACTGATTTGTGCTGGGCATTGTAATAGGTGCTAATAATAGACCCCTATTCGACAGTAACAACAAAAATACAAAATTTCTCCCTTTGGGAACTTGCAGTCCAATAAGAGAAAGAATAATAGTGAAATACTGACATAAATAGCATAGTGGAAATACACATAAAATCAGAAAGGAAGGAATGCCTTGGGGCATCTGGGAAGGTGTGCAGAATGGAAATTTGTTGAAGCTGAGTAATATCAGGGTGAACAGATGTTCATTAGGTTTAATGGGCAAGCGGAACACCTTCTAAGCAAAGGAAAGAAGCATGTGCAAGGTAAGCAAGTGTGAGAACAGAGTTGATGGATAGGAGAATGTGAAGAAAGTGCAGATGAGCTTGGAAGGTTAGAAGAGGCCATATCACAAAAGGTCTTTATGGCATGCTAAGGGTTTTAGACTTTATCTTGTAGGCCTTGGAATGCCATTGAAGGAACTTAAACAAAGGAGTAAGTAACCTGATGGGATCTGGACTTTCAGAAGAAGTTTGGTGGTCATGTGACTGATGTACTAGAAGAGAATGAGACAGCAGAGATCGATTGTGAGGTAGTTGTGGAAATTTGGAGAAGTTCTTGGCACCTGCACTGAAATGACACTAGAAGTAGAAAGGAAATAAAATATATGAAAAGTATGTGAATAGTGGTGTTTACAAAATGTAGTGAGCCATTGACTATAGATCCAAGATGACTCTTAAGTGTCCCTGTTTGGATGACTTCATATGAGGTGGGGACCCCCAGGGGCTCAGAAGCTTTGATGACAAGGTGGCTGGATGTGTTGGCTTTGGAATATTTCACTCTGAGGTGCTGGCAGCGATGCTCTGTGGTCCAGAGTGGTTGAGGGTGGGCACATAGGCAGTAGTAGGTTAAGTCTTGTCTGTTCATGCGATTGCACTGGGAGCATATGTAGAGTTAGAAGAGATTGACCCAGTTTTGGAGAGCCTCAAGGAGCCTCAGGGAAGGAAGAGAGGCCTCTTAGGAGCTCAGAGGTAGAAGGAGAAGCCAGAGTGAGTACGATCATGGAAACCCAGGAGTGGTGTTTGTTCAGAGATTTTACCTGAGACAAGGACCAGGTATTTCTGATATGTTTGGAGCAGGGTAGCATCTGACCCTGGGAGGTGCCAGTGAGTAGTGGAGATGTGTAGCTTATTCTTTTAGAAAGCTTTGACATGAAGAGGAAGGGGTAGTCAAATAGTTAAAAGAAAGGAATAGAGCCAGGGTTGGTTTTCTGTGTATGTATGTATTTTCTTATGTAAGTTTAAGGAGAGATTTTAAATATAAGGAAAAGAAGTAACACTTGAAAGAGTGAATATTCAGCAGATGAGACTGTGGTGTCAAAACCATAAAAAGAGGATTATCCTTGAAGAGGATTCTAAGGTTAGTACAGATCGAAAACCACTGGTGGCATGAGTATCAAAGAAAAGTGGTAGTTATTATACAAAGTGCAAAGTAAGGGAGAGATGGTCTGGAAGTAACAACGTGGAGCTGTAAGATAGCATCATTACCTCTGGGAAAGGAGAATGACCAGTTTTCACAGAAAAGGTGATTAGAGTTAAGTCTGGAGTGTAGATGAGGAGATAAGACATAAAGAAGTTTTTTAATAGCCTGGGGGTGTCAGGATGCTTATAGAACAGACCCAGAAGGACACCTGTAGTGAGAGGATGCCAGCAGGGCTGAGCAGTAAACCAGAAGGCGAGTAAACAGCTAAACAGTGTTTGAGAGGCTAGCAGTTCCAGATGGGGCCTTAGAGCATGCTTGCAGCTTGTGACTTAGACAGCCTTGAGGGGTTGACAGGAACGGGGAGGACAATGATTTGGAAAAGGGGGACAGCTGGTGTTAAGGAAAAATAGGCTGAAAAATCTGCTCTTCTGTGAGGTTTCAGTGCAGTGGAAACTGAGAGGTCCCAAGTAACTTCAGAGCACTGAAGTTATTAAGGATCTCAACAGGTGAGGTTGTGGAGGTACCTCCAAAGGGATCTTTCACTGAAGGTGTTGGGAGAGAGTGGCTAGGTAATGGCAGTAGGATTTGGACCTTAGTGGAATTAGCAAGTACAGTCAGTGACCTAGAAGAAGGTAGGTCTGTTTTGATACAATACGTAAGGTCTCCAGGATCTTCATTTTCTATGGCATTTGCAAAACCAAAACAAAATTTAAAAAAAAACAACAAAAAACAATGAGCAGATATAACACTCCAGGGTAATTATTTCAGTATCATAAGGATCTCATTTCCGAACATTCTTTGATCTGTTTTACAGTGACAATTTGGTAAAATTTACCATAGTATGTTCTGTATAGTGTGAATAAAGGTGTTCTATTTTTAAGTATTGGGTTGGCTAAAAAGTCTGTATGTTTTTTTTTCCATAAAAGACACATATTTTCATTTCCACCAATAACTTTATTGATTTGTATATTTTGAGTATGTCGCTATCTCCCAGGTGGTATAACTTTGATTGTTCTCAGTTAATGTCTCAATTTGATCACCGTCAACTTCAACTGGTCTGCCCAACCACGGAGCATCGTCCAGTGAGAAGTCTCCAGCATGAAACTTCTCAAACCACTTTTGACACATTCAGTCAATCACAGCACCTTCTCTGTACACTGAACAGATCGTTTTTATGTTTCAGTTGCATTTTTACCTTTCTTAAAATAATAAAGCATAATGTGCCAAAAGCGTTGCATGTTTTCTTCCATCTTCAATATTAAAATGGCTACACAAAAATTCACCAATTTTGATAAATTTCTTTAAATGCATGCTGATATGACAGCTGTCACAATGCAGTGTAACAAAATTGTTTCAAATGAAGTAGACAACTAAGTGTTCCTGGAACCATCTTATGGGAAAAAAGGCAAACAAACTTTTTGGCCAACCCAGTAGAACAGACTGATTATCCTTATGATAATGCTAAAGGTCTCTTATAAGATAGTTATTAATATATTTAACAATCTTTTAAGATTCTTACATTTACTTACTTGCCTACTTCAAGTACTATAGCAGACCTGTCTTTGGTGATTATAGAAGTGTTGATTTTTGTTTTTCTGAGTAGTTCTCTCTCATAGTTTTATATTTGTATTTTATATCCTAGGGAATATTATACTTGATTTTCATATCATTAAAATGTTGATGGAATCAGGTTTTCATGTCCATATGCTAGACTTATTTCAACTGTCAAACATTAGAAAACCTATGAGAACATAGTTTATAGAAGAAACTTAATGATTAAAAATTTAAAAATATTGTTCGTAAATGCTTTCAGAAACTCCTTATTACAATTTCTTTTACATCTTTAGAGCTTTATATACCAAACACATGACTAAATTGAACATGAAATTGGAATGATGGTTGAAACTGACAAGGATGTTGAGGTAGCAGAAAGTTATCAGTGAGTTTATTATATATAATATTTTGGGCTTTTTAAAATCAGGTAATTTGCTATGTTATGTCAAATCTTACATACCTTTGTTTATAGATATTTATTGTTTTATATACCACTAAAAAAGCAAAAACATTCTAGTTACCATTGTAAGCCACATTCCAATCACATATTAAAATATGTATAAATAGCAAAAGGAAAAACATTTTGGAAGAGGTAAAATATAGTGCATAACAACAGTAAAGATGATAGTTGTGTAATAAGGTAAGAAAACTCTTTGGAAGAAATGATTATAGCCTTTTATTGTTTTTTTTTCCCTCCAAAACAGTGTCATATAACCTTATACATCTTTATTCTACTTCCATAAGAAAAATCTATTTTTGTTTAAAATAGATTATAGGTGGTGTTCTATATAAGTTAACCCTCCAAAACTGAGCTATGATGATGTTTCCATTTTAACTTGTCTTTAAAGAGTCATCTGATACTGAAACAGGACACAGGTAACTGGAAGATACTTACAGTCAGGGCCACCAGACATCTCCCATCTTTCTGTCACCCGTGCTGTGCCTGGAAGGTGATTGTCACTTCCAGAATTGCGCCGCTTTCTGTTGACTCCCCAACATCCCAGCCCCCAAATCTGTTGGTTGCTCTTTATTTTCAGAGACAGATAAGTAAGTAGAATTGATTCTAAGAGTTTTATAATTTTCAAACTTTTAAAAGCTTGTATGGGCATTGCACTTCTGTTACATGTCATATAGTTTTTATTATACTTATTGAGAGTTTTTAAAAAATTCTGTCAACCCTTATATTTAAAGAACTTGCTGGGCAAACATCAGGCAGAATTTGGTTTTGAAAACTATCTTCCATGGGTTTTCAATAACTTTTAAGTTATTTCCTAATATTTTCACATCCTTCAGTTTATTCCAAGAGCGGGGAAAATTATTTTATACGTGTGTTTTTTGATGGTCCTCTAAAATAGATGTTTATATCCTAGACAGAGTTGTTAAAGACACACTGATGCTGCAGCTTTCATGTTGGTGGGTTGCTTTGTACCTCCATCTGAAACAGTCTTCCTGTGGGCTGGCTGTACCAGTTAGTGCTGCTCCCAGGTGGATGAAGCCTGGGGGGAGAGAGCTGGTTTGCTTATTGCCTTGATGTCTCCATTTCTGTGCAGAGATTTTTGGGGAATGCCTGAAGAAAAACTGCAGGAAAATAAAACTTTCAGTTAAAAAAGAAAGTAATGTTCCAAACATGTTTTCTTCACATTATTGTCCTCACCTTATAGTATATCCATTCTTTTTAGATGGGAAGTTTAACACACTTTTATCTCAGTTTAGTACATCCTAGAACCTGTTCTTCTTGGAATGTTTTTAACATCTCAAAAGCATATAACAAGAAAGATTTAGGAATTGCTGATCTGGAATACTACTCTTTATGTATATATGAAGGTATAATGTTACTTCTGATTAGAAGTGTCTTTCATGATGCTCCACCTTGCATGATGTAATGTTCACTGTTACCAATTCTAGAATTTCATTTCTACTTATTTTCTTTTTAAAGATTTTTTTACTTTTTTTTAGAGAGAGAGAGGGGAAGGGAGGGAGAAAAGGGGTGAAAGGAACATTAATGTGTGGTTGCCTCCCACATGCCCCCCACTGGGGACCTGGCCCAAGACCCAGGCATGCGCCCTGACCAGGAATTGAATCCATGACCCTTTGGTTCACAGGCTGGTACTCAGTCCAGTGAGCCACACCAGCCAGGACTTTATTTACTTTCAATAGTACTGTTACATTATTAGTTCAGCATATAGTTATAAAACTCATGTACGACACTATGCTAAACTCCACAGAAGGTACATAAAACCCCGGCTAAAAAGAGATCATAGCCTAATGGAGGGTTACGGTAAGACAGCTTTAGCAATCATGATAGTAAGAAATAGCAGTTGGGTGCTCTGCCTCTTGGGAGCATGCCCATGCCTTTCGTCCCTCTCAGTCGTACATCTTTATTTTCTCTCCTAAACTCTGAGGGTCCACACAAAACTTGTAACCAGGAAGGCAGTGGCAGCCTGTCTCAGGTCAACCCCCCCACCCCGAACCTGTCTCCAAGGCCCCCTTTTTCTTTTCAGTGAGCTGACAGCAGCCCCTCATAGTTCACTTCTTTCCTGAGATGTTTCTGAAGAGCCAAAGTAGCCCCATCCAGGCTCTCTCCCTAGCTTTAATAAATGTACTCTCAAAAAGAAAATAGCAATTGATTAGAGGTATAAGAACTGTAGATAAAATGATGTGGTAGTCAAGAGTAGTAAATGGACAGATTCAGGAAAGTTACAGGCAAGAGAAACCATTTTAGCTGGGCCTTGAAAGACAAATCGGTGTTTGGTATTGCGGAGCTGGGAGTGGGAAGGAGATGTGAAGGGAGGGGACCTGTGTGAGCCACAGCACCAAAGCAAGAATATGGTGTACCAGATAGGGCACCAAAAGCAAGGCACCGAATATGGGGACAGTAGTAAGTTGCTATTTGACGGAGGATGAATTATGGGGAGAGGGTGTCGAGAGCCTAGCACAGCAGGTGGCTTGTGGCAAGTTAGGTTAAATTTCAAATTGAAGAGGTTAGACTTTTGGAGACTGAAAATAAGACAAGGAAGCCTTGTTTCCAGGGAGGTTAATGTGGTACCACTGTTTGAGATGGGTATACCAAGGTAATGCAGTGATTCAGGTGAGTGGTGCCAGGTGAGAAGGTTTTAAGTCATGACACTGATGTGAAGTGGAGGACAAGGTAGCTCCTAGGAGGTGTTAGAGGTGGGGAGAGGATGGGCTCAGAAATGGCTGTCATTGCTGACACGGTTTAAACTCATGTTATTAAACAGAAACACAATTCAATTGCTATAAAATTGTTAGTTAAGTTTTCTTCTTATTTTTAGTTCTAGAGCCAGTACAGAAGCCTCATGAAGGTCCTGGAGAAATGGGGAAACCAGTTGTCATTCCTAAAGAGGATCAAGAAAAGATGAAAGAAATGTTTAAAATCAATCAGTTCAATTTAATGGCAAGTGAGATAATTGCCCTCAACAGGTCTTTACCGGATGTTCGGTTAGAAGGGTAAGTACTGAGTGTGGTCCTAATAGTGTTTAATGTAAATGAAAAGTATGTTCTGAGTTCCTAATAAATTGCATGTTAGTGTTAATTGTTTCTGAAGTGAATGCTATATCACTAATTTACTACTTACCCCACTGAAAAATAATTAAATGGTGATAAAATAATACCTCAAGTTACTGTGGATCATTAGGATTATGTATTTCAGGCTTTGGAAAATAATTATTTATCTTAATAGGTTAAGATGGTAGGAGGTTTTAAACTTCATTATCATTACCAAAATATTCATATTATCTACTTTTTACAAGAGATTCTTTTGAGTTTTCTGTAACTTAAAACAGTGAAGTATGCAGTTATAAGTACAGGCTACCAAATTTTTACATACGTGTATACCTGTCATCCAAATCAATATGCAAAACATTTCCAACCAGCCCTGAGATTTCTCTTATGTTTCTTCTCAGTCAGTACTCCCACCCAAAAGGTTACCTTTGTTTCCACACTCCTAATCATAGAGGAATGTTGTCCTTTTTTTGAACATTTTATAAGTGGATCCATACAGAATATATTCTTTTGTGTCTTTGAAATCTATGTTATATATATATATCGGAGGTTTATTTGAACATTAATAGATATTTGGGTTGCTCCCACTTTTCAACTGTTAATGAATTAAGCTGTTGTGACATTTTTGTGTGTCTCTTTTGGTATGTATTGGGGGACTTAATACATCAGGACTTAAGCTACATTTCTATTTGGTATGTATTGGGGGAAAGAAATGGCTTATGTGTTTATATAGATTAAAACATGCTGCCAAACATTTTTCCAAGATGGTTGTACCAGTTTACACTTCTACTGGCAAAATACACTGCTCTATTACCAAAGAAGGTAATACAAAGCATCTGGACTAGAGGACAACAGGCACAGTTTAAAAAAAAAAAAAAAAGCAAGGGAACGGTAGAAAACACTAGTGAGTTAAGTGAGTTTATACATTGCTGAGACCCCTAACTACCATGCCATCTATGGCTCCCATCAATGCCAGATCTGTGCCTTCCCATCTAGGCAAGAGACTGGGGGATCTTTCTCAACAGAATTGGACTAGCCCTAGAGAAGAAAACATACACCAACATCGGAGATTCTGCCGTTTATGGCACAGACTAATCACCCTGGTAGAAAATCATCGTCCAGTAAGCCTCACTCTTACATTCAAAGCTTACATTCAACTTTTTGATCATCCATGTGTAAAACAAAACAGATAATCAAGAAACACTAGACATCACAGGAAACCCTCAAAAATGAAAAGTATAGTTTAAAGCAAACAGAAACAGCAACTTGAAGAAACCAAAGATTATTCAGGGAAAAGGCTACTTATAAAGAAATAATTAGTACTCTCAGTGATATAAGAATACATATTACAACCATAAAACAAGAATAGGATACTATTAAAAAGGATACACTGAGAGAACCAACTAGAGCTTTTGGAAATTTTTTTTTAAAAGTAGCAGCAAAAATTCAGTAGCAAGTTGGGAAGAAATCTTCCACGAAGATGGGCCAAAGAAACAAAGTGATGGGCAATAGGGAAAAGCAAATGAAATTGAGGGGACAATGGAGGAAGACTAGTATTTGATTAATAAGAGTCTCAAAGAGAACAACAACAAAATGTCAGGGAGGGGGGATTTATCCACAAAATTTCCCAGATCTGGACGGCCCTGGTTTTCAGAGTGAACGAGCCCATCATGTTTTCAGGACAGCAGATGAAAACAAACAGGGCCCAAGGCACTGTGAGTTGTAGAACACTGGGGATCCTCCTACCCAAAAGACCTATAACTTAGATTTTTAATGGAGAAACTATAGATTTCTCTAGAAAAGAAAGCAGGTCACAATCAAAGGATCTTTAATCAGAGTGTCTTCCAACTTAGCAGCAGCTCTGGAAACAGGAGCAAAATTCTAAAGGAAAATATTGCCCAACCTAAAATTTCATATTCATTTAAACTTACAATCAAATGCACAGGTTGAATAAGGACTTTTTTGGAAATGCAAGGTCTCAAAACACTGAACTGCCACACATCTTTCCTCGGGAAGTTCCCGGAGAGTGTGCTGTACCAAATAATGAGGTAAACCAAGGAAAAGGAGGCCACAGGATGTGGAAGACAGGAGACCCAACATGTGTGAGAGATGCTGGGAGTCCCTGGAGGGTGGTGAAGGGAGAGCCCTGGGCGAGAGTTGTGTGGGCAGAGAGGCAGCCTGCCTAGACAGAAGTGGATTAGAACACACACTTGGGTAGAGCTCTGTGATGCTGACATCGTATTTTGGAGAGCTGAATGTCTTTAGAAGAGATTTGCACACTTGGTGGAGAATATGCAATTGAATTACTAATAAGTACATAGAAAACCATACCAAGGAAAAAACTTAACACAATCATTAACTCCAGGGAAAGCTTTTAAAAATTGTTTAGAGAAAGCAAAAATAACCATAGCTTACTGCACGGCAGAGCCGTGAGTGAGTCATAATAAAATAACCATTGAATATTGTGCCTATAAAAATTAAACTGACGGGATGCAGCATGTCTGTTCAGCAAATTGGTTAAGTGGTGTTCAGTCAAGACAAGCTTCACTGTAATCTCAGGTTTTGCAAGCTATGTATACTTTCCTGAACAATTTAGGAATTATTGAAGAAAAGCTGGAACCTTCAGGGATGCCTACAGTTAATATTTTAACAACATCTATGTTAAAAAGAGTCTTAACTACTATTTTTTCTTATAGAGTTATTTTTGTAATTTGAGTAATTCCCCTGAGCACATAACCACTCAACACATTTTATTAAGCATTTATGTTTTTTAAATCTTTTACATGTCTCTTGAAGATACTGTTACTGATTAATAGCCTTGAAGTGTATTAGAAGTCACCAGCTTTTGGACCGTGAACAACTTCACGATGGAAAGAACAGTGTTTAAATGGTGTGATATGTACGCCTGCGCACTGGGTTTCTTGCTTGGTGAGGGCTCCCGTGCTCTGACAAACTCTGTTTCATGCACGCTGCCCCTGCACAGTCCTTCTGGCCAACCGCTGGGCCTTCATGGGACTGGGCTGCTTGTGACAGAGAAGGGGGCACGAAGTTACTGCTACCTGAGTAGCCTTTTTATAGCTTCTTGTTCCATCTCTGTGCTGGTATCCTTTTTAAAAAAAAATCATTATGGAAAATATCAAATGCATACAAAAATAGAGAAAATAGTATAATGAACCCTCATGTATTCATCACCTGCTTCAACAATTCCTAACAGCTTTGTATTGCACTTAGATGTCCTCCTCCAGTCTCCATCTTCCGGTGTCGATACCTCTGTGTGGTCTCTTCCTGTGTTGTTTTAGGGCTGGTCGGTAGAACCGGTAGAACACAGTACAGGTGATGAGTGTCACTTTCAGGATTAGGTTATAAAATACACTGTGTTTTCCAATTTGGGTTTTTACTCTCACTTTGATCTTTGGCTCTAGGGTAGACTAGCCAACAACAGGAGCATCCCTGTGGTTTATTGCCTTTTGTGATCACCCAGGTGAGTGAGATTAGGAGCAGGTTCCCCAGTCCTGGGCAAGGACATAGCAGTTGTAAATATATGTTCTGAAAGATAAGGACTCATTAAAAAAAAAGAAAAATCATGGTACCATTTTCATAACTAAAAAATATTAACAGTGATTCCTTAATAACATGAAATACCCAGTTAGTGTTCAAGTTTCCCTAGTGGTGTCATCTATTTTTCTCTTTTTTAAAAAATAGTGTTTGTGTCAGGATCCAAATAAGGTCTGTACGTTGCAACCTGTATATATGTCTTAAATCTTTTTTTAGCCTGCAGGCTCCCCCTCTATCTTCTTTTTTCCCCTTACAGTTTATTATTTAAAGACCAGGTAGAGTGTCTTGTGTCTTTCCTCAGCCTGAATTTTGCTAACTGCATCACTGTGGCATCATTGATTGTGTTCCTCTGTTCTCTCTTTCTGATATCTTCGAAGCTAATAAATTGTGTGCATGTGGTAGAAAAGGCCTGAAAACTGGTCCGTCATGTGCATCACCATTGGACATGTCTATTATCTGTCCTGTTTGTCTGTGTTCTCTTTTGGGAATTCCTGTTAGCCAGGCTTCGGATGGCTGGAATTGATTCCTGTAGTCTCATATTTTTGTGTTCTCTCTCTCTCCTTCTCCTTCCTTCCTTCCAGGGAGAAATCCCAGACTCTTTCAGCTACTTTCTTGAATTTTTTATTACTAAGTCCTTATCATTGCCTGACTTTTTAAAAATATAGGCAAAAAAACCTGTAGTATACCATTTTTATACATATAAATATTTGTGAGATATTTAGCATAACAGTAGCATTTTAATCAATGTAGTTTTTTAGAATAATTTTAACTTTGGTTTAAAAAATAACAGCGCCATGAGGCAGGCTGCTGTTAACATACCTGAGAGAGATTACTGTAGCCCAGGATAATTAAGTGGGGTTTGAATCCAGGGCCTCTGACTCTTGATTCCCTTCTTTCTCTATCTAATTGCTGGAAGTTATTTTCTCTTATTTTAAAAATAATTCCTTTTAATACTACATGTAATTCTGGCAACAGGTTAAAAAATCATGCATTTAGTAGAATTTTATTTATTTTTTTATACCAGATAAATGTCTTTAGATGATTTTGATGAAACTATGGAAGTTGTTGTTTATAATTGTTTAAGCCTAATGGTTTTATATTTTTTTCAGGTGCTTTCAGTAACTTTGATATTACTTTGATATTCAGTAACTTCTATAAAGACTAATTGGTAGTTCTTAAGGCTAATATGTATTTTGTTTTAGTTAAATAAAATTTTGCAAACAAAATATTCTAACATAAATATTACTTTTTTGTACCTGTATTTATCATCTTGTAGTTTGTTTTCTATCTACCTTATGAAATGTAAATTTTCCTGATACAAAATTTAGTGAATTCCCTGACTTTTTTGTTGTTGTTTTATTTACTGCCTCAAAGACACATGTGATAATTTG